GATGCTTCTTCCCAGAAGTAACACATTTACTGGCTATTGTGGGTTGAATGGTATCCTCCCAAAATTCATGGCCACTTGCAGAATCTATGACCCTTATCTGCAAGTAGGGTCTTTGCAGATGCATTTAGTTAAGGATCTGGAGATGATATTATATTGGATTTAGGGTGGGCCCTGAATCCAATGACTTGCGTCCGTATAAGAATAAGAGAGGACATAGAAACAGAGAAGCAGGCCAGGTGAGAATGGAGGCAGAGCCTGGAGGGAGGCGGCCCAAACTGAGGAACTCCAAGGACCGCCGAGACCTTCCAGAAGCTGGACGATGGCTCTGTTGACATCTTGACTTCAGATATCTAGTCTCCAGAACTATGAGAAAACCAGTTTCTCTTGTTTTAAGCCCCCTTGTTTATGGTAATTTCTTAGGACAACCCTAGGAAACTAATATTGAGCTCAAAGCAAGGCACAGTATCCTACCCAGATTCGAGGGAGCTGGGAGAGACAGTCCTGCTGCGCTGAATAGCTTCCCTTACATCCACTTTCTCCCCTTCGGTACTCGGAGCCTGCAAGTGCATAAACAGACTCCCTTCTGCCTAGCTTCTGGTTGCTATTTGCCCAAAGCAAAAGTTCAGAATGTAGGAGGAGAGTAAAGTCATGGTGTTTACTAGGACACCTTCCTCTCCACCAGGCTGGTATTGGCTGTTCCTCTTCCGAAGGTCACAGCTCCTGCCAGGAAGCCCTCTTTCGGTCTCTCCTATCTCTCAGGGTTCTCACAACCATCCTTCTCCTTGCACCTCCAGAACTAGAGACCAGGGGACGACAGCTGTTGTTAGCTAACAACACTTCTCCTTTCCTTGTCACTCTCCCTTAACCCAGCCGACACCCTTGTAAACAGAGCCTTTATTAATCTCGTCTCAGTATCTTTATTTGAGCGCACCATCTGTTTTCTGCTGAGACTCAGTGGATACACATATTGTGCAATTAAAAGGAGAGCTGGAAAGTTGGTGGACAGGGTGGGGACGTCCTCACTGAGCTGAGAAGCCACACTAGTGAAGCCACAGTGGGAACTGCAATGAGAGTGACAATCACACGGTTGCTTTGCTTCCACCTCTCCTTCCAGAGGAAGGAGCCCAAGCTCAGCAGCAGGACACACTCCAGCTCCACCATTTACTACCTGTGATATGAACATCTCTGGTCCTCAGTTTCTTCATATGTACAATGGGTAGAACAATGCTTCCCTTACTGAGCTGTTTAAAGATCCAGGGAGATAAATACAAAGAGAACCCAACTGTGATAGGCAGAATAATGCCTCCCAAAGCCCTAATCCCTGGGAATCTTTGCATCTGTTACTTTACCTGGCAGAAGAGACTTGTGGGTGCGATTAAGTTTACAGACCTTAAAATGGGCAGATTATCCTGGATTCCTCAAGGGACCCAACCAATCACTCGAGTACTTACAAGTGGAAGGGGAGGCAGAAGAGCAGTCATGGAAACGTGGCAGAGGAAGGGGGCAGTGGACATGTGACAACAGGAGAAGGCTTTACTGTTCCCCAGAGCAGGCCCACAGATGCTAACCCGCACGGAGATGGCAGCCAGCAAGGAAATGGGGGCCTCGCCCTACACACACTGAGTTCTGTGGACTGCCGAAATGCACCTGAAAACGATTCTCGCCCGGGGCATTCCAAAGGGAAGGAAGGCATCCCAGACAGTGCCTTGATTTCGGCCTTGGGAGACCAGAAGCAGGAAAACCACTGGACTTCTACAGAACTGTGAGATAATAAATGGGTACTGTTTAAAGCCCCCAAATTTGTGTTAGTTTGTTCTGGTGGCATCAGTCAATAAATACGCTAGTGTAGAAAACTCTCAGTGCATAGTATAGGCCCACTACAAAGAGGAGAGTTGGGCAAGGTCCAAAGACGCCTTCCCAGGACCCCAACTATGATGTACTCTCAAAAAAATCCACCCGCTGTGATTTTACAACTAACCTAGGAGCGGGCTTTCTCTAGTGCTTTCCAGCTGTCATGAGCACGGCCCCCTGCCTGAGCAGCCTCCAGTCGCGGCAGCAAGAGGAATAAGAAGCACTATGCTTCTCCCGACTGAGGCCAAAATAAGCCTGGGCACAGCGACGTCCAGATGGGAATTCGCACCAGACCCCACTGTCATCCCTCTGGTAGGCCATCCCCTGCCCGAAACCCTTAGTCCTGCCATCCTCCACCTCGGAGGCAGTTTCCGTTTCTAGTATTTTCCCCTAATTGAAGCACAGGCCAGGAAGAAGACCATCTCTTGCTGCTGGAGACTTCCCTCTGTTTCCCTAAGCCAAATCCATCTCTCTAACTGCATGTCAGTATCTTCCATCTGCCTGACCATCTAAGCCCAGACATTGCCTTTTGAGCACAGACACTCATTGCTACACCGCTTTATTTGATGACTCGGACAGCTATGCTTTAATAAGTGGCTCTAGTTGAAATAGTCTCGTAGGACACCGGGCCCTGAGCCAGGTATCAGACATGTGGGTCCCTCCGTGTTCAGTCGCCAGCAATGTGTACAGAAGAGCATGCGGATTAAGGGCTACCCGCTGGGCACGGACTTGCACCTCAAGCTTGAATCAAAACTGTAGACACTTTGCCAACTCACAGTGCCTCTTTAATGTTTCAGTCCAGCAATTGGTGATCCTTTAGATAATAATTGTTGCTGTTCTTCTAAGGAGGCTTGTCTCATTATAAGAAGATTGTAATAACAAGCGCTAATATTGATTGTGTGCTTGCTGTGCACCAGGCACTACTCTATGTAGCTGTAAAAATGTTCATATTAAATTCTCAATTTAAAGAGTTAATTTCTCTTATTTTTATCATCTAGCTTTAGAACTGAGGAAAACGGGGCTCAGAAGGGTTAAGTGAATCGTTCAAGGTTAAGCATAGTGCGGAGCTGGAGCTGAAACTTGAACCTTGGCTAGTGTGTTTCTGTATACCACATATCACACCGATTCTCTTGGTTGAGTCCACACACTCAGCTTTTAGGTATCGACCACACACTGTGACAGACCCTGGAAATACAAATATACCCAGGAAAAATTTCATTTTCTCCTAAGTAACATGATAGGAGACAGATATGTATAAAGAAATATATAGATACATTTTATTAGCATCATAAACACAGTGCAATGGAAGAGATAATTAGATGTTACAGGGTGAGAAGAAAAAGTAGGAAAAAGAGGACAGGATGACAGACACAATCAAGAGAGACAGAGACAGAAAAGTGTCACGTATAACCAGGGGCAGAGTACTCATTATCCCTCTTTCCCTCCCTTTCCTCAGCACTAAAATGGAGGCCACAACACCCATTCCAAGGCTGTTATAAAGATTAATTTCGATAAGTTGAATGTGTATTACCTCTGTTCAAAACATTCTAATATGCATTAATTACTCTCTCACCTTCCAACCAAGAAACTCCTTACGTAAAGATGAGCTCAAAATCCAAACAAAAATGCTTGGAAGTGTTAAAGAGAAGTAGAAATATAAGATACTTAGATACTGGAGAAAGGAGCACACAGTTATCTCAGAGAAAAGATAATCAAAACTAGGCAGCTTGCTTTGGATTCTGTGTCCCAAAATAGGCCTCCTCTTCCCCCACTGGCAAAACACATTCCAGCTAGATTCCCCAGAGCAGAGGTGGTCACTTGGGCGGCCTCTCCTTCACCTGACTACAGATTACTCCATTCCACACAAAGCTACATTTAGTATACAGCCTCAGCAGCTCCCAGGACAAAACAGAGCATCACTCCAAATCTACCTCTGAAGGTTGGGGACAGTCCCTTCCCACTCACCCTTCCGCTTTGGGAGGGTTGGTTAGTCTCAGAGACAGCTGACAGCCGTATTTAGCCAACCAGCTGCTCTGTAACACACCACGTCCTCAATGCTCCAAGTCTGGTGGGTGATTCTTTCCTATCCGCAGAAGCAGCAGTTGGAGGAGAATCCATCAGTCCCTTTGATAGCTTTGGGGTGTCAAAGCTGCCATTCAAATCATGACCGCCATGATTATTAACCATTGTTTTAGTGAAATATCTGTTTTCCTTTCTTTTTTTAACCATTTAAAGACAATCAAATTTCACTGGAGCAATGCTTGCCTCAAGTCACATCGACACATTTATGAAACGCCTTGTTTGCCCAGTTGAATAGGAAGTCTTAGAAGAGGGAATACTTAAAACACTCTGTCTAATTTTAAAGAATTGTTAATGCCGTGGGAAAGAGGTTTACATAAGAAAACCATTACACAGAGTTACATAGTACATAATACACTGCTACTGAGTGTCAGAGAGCAGAAATTTTGTTTCCTGGATTGTATTACTTGGGGATGGGGTGCGACGGCTGAGATGCCATGGGTATAGGATTTGGAAAAGTGGGGTATTGTGGTGGAAAGTTGCTTTCTTTTCCAGCAGGTAAGAGAAAAACAAGCAGAGGCACTGCCGGGATAGCAGCCCCTTAGGGGAGCCACCAGAGCCTGACTCTGTGACAGGAGTTCATTATTTAGGATAAATTTGCAGGTAGTTTTAAAAGGGCTTCGCTTCGGTGTGATTGATATGGCCTGTGTAATTCAGTGAGATATTGAAAGACCTTGTTCATGTTATGGCTTGGAGCCACATTTTGAATCCATTTTCCCAGCAAGAGCAGGAGGTGGAGGGAGGACAGCGGGGCCCAGGGCGGTGGAGAGGCAGGCAGGGGACTCGGGGAGCCGCGGGGGCAGTCAGGCCCCCAGTGAGCGCTGGAACCCAAGCCCAGCCTCCGGTGGCAGGCGGCGATGCGGGGCCGGGCGCGGGGTGGTGGAGGGTGCGGCGGGGCGTGCCCGGGAAGCCCGGCCTCTGCCACTTCCCGGTTTCGGCGAGCCGGGGGACAGCGTAGACGCGACTCCGCGAATGGGGACCACTCGCGTCAGCAGGCGCGGTGGCGGGGCTGGGCGAGGGCGAGTGCGCGTGCGCGGCTCGCGCGCGCCGGGAGCGGGTGTGCGGAGCGGGCGCTCGGGTGCGCGCCGAAGCCGGAGCTCGCGTGCGCGCGGCCGGGCAGCCTGGGCGGTGGGTCCTGCTTGCGACAGGCGGTGGCACAGGGTCCTGACTGTGACGGAGGTGGCTGCTCCAGACGAGGGCGGCGGAGGCAGCGGCGGCGGCAGTAGCAGCAGCAGCAGCAGCAGCGGTGGCGGCGGCAGCAGCAGCGGGCGCGGAGATGTGGCCCCTGGTGGTGCTGCTGCTGCTGAGCTCGGCTTGCTGCGGTGAGTGGCCCCTAGATCCTGGCTCTGCGGATCGCGCCTCGTCGCCTCCGCGGCGCCCCCGCGGCCGTGTGCGTTGTGCCCCGGCTGGTTCCGCGGTGCCCTGGGGAGGGTGGCCGGGGTACTGGATGCGAGGGCCCTGCACGCCCCTAGACGAACGTGGGAGGGCCCCGCGGGTAATGAGACGCCCCCTTCCTTCCTCTTTCCCTCCTCATCTTCCCAGGGGTGACAGCAGGGCTCATCTCCTTCCCGCGTTCTCCGCCTCCAGACGCACACAGCGAGGAAGACTCCAAACCCTGCTCCCCCAGTGCAAATTAACTGTAGAGAGAAAGGGAGCGATTGGAGGCGAGTGGGTGGCAGCTGTTGCGGTCCCCCCTCTTTCGCACCCCTCTTCCCTCCTCAGTGCTTCAGTGCGTGGGGATGAAGGAGGGAGAGTGGGAGAGCCCGGGCCTCTTGCGATGGAAGTGCGCATTTTGGCGAAGTCTGCAAGACGGGTTTTTGTTTGTTCGTTTGTTTTGTTTTGTTCCTATTTGCCCTCTCCCTTGAGCACAGAAGTCAAGGGGGCATAATGGATACAATTAAGTTTTATTTACAACCCACCATTTAATCAGAAGAATCTTCTGGCCGTTTAAAAAATATATATATATATATATATTAAACCCTAGAAATAGGCTTCCTGGAAACTCTCGCTACCCCCACGCCACACCAACCACGTTAATACAGTCCAAATTGCACATTCAAGTTTCCCCGCTCTATTTTTGGGAAACGTTTAACAGCAGTATAGATTTCGCTTGAAATATGAAGACGATAACCCTTAGTCAAAACGTATTTGCAGCTAAGTGAGATGTGGTGTTGATTCCACCCCGAAAGCGTCTTGGACCCTAAAGCTTTCAGAATGTATTTAAGGAAAAAAAAGGGGGGTGCTTTGTAAAAACTGAGGAAAGAATAGGAGTTTTTGTGGCTTCTTTAGGTAGCTCCTTTTGTGAACTTTTTGTAAGATTCAAATTGAGTTTGAGTAACAGTTACACGCAATTGTCATATTTAATTCTACAATACTAAACTGATTAGAACTCAAATGGATTATTAGTTTCACTGTTCCATTCATTAAGGATTGTGATTTCAGCTGCTTTGAAGATGCTCTTAAGACCCTGCTTACCACTTTCCCCACTCTCTGAATATCCTAGGATGTTGGAACTTAATAATCATTGTATCTCTTTCCTAAATAGTTGACATTAAAGTAGTGTTTTCTGTCACTATCATCAATGATTTGTTGCTATTACTATAAAAATAGCTAAAATAATAGTGCTTTCAGACACCTGTCTTCTGATCAGAAAGCATGTTGAATGAGATTATAAATTTGTGATAAAGTATCACTAATTCATACTGTAGGCATCAAAAGCTAATCTGAAGAATAAAAACTATAAATTATGTACTGCTTTAAAAACAGGGATCTGTTTTCAAGTAAATTAGAAAGAACTGCTGGAATGGTACTTTGGGGGATAGGAATTCTGTTAGGCCTCCTTTAGTAAGAGTTAAGATTATGTACAATTAACACTATTCACAATTAATATTAGTGTGCCCGAGTCCCTATAGAGTCATAGAATTGAGAATTTATGGTATTTTATTGTAGTTAGTCAATAATGTGAAAAAATAAAAAACAGAATAGAGTCATTATATATTTGGGTTCTGTTAAATGTTGAGTATAAACAAGGAAGTGATAGTATTTGCCATGAAGTACAGTGGATTTTTGTGTGTGTGTTTAATATTTAATTTTAAAAGGATATGTCTGAATAGATGTTAACAGTCTCAGAACACAAGTAATTCCAAAGCAAGGTATTTGAGAGACTGAATTTAGAATCTAGAATGAGTAAGAAAGTGCATGGATTTGTACATTCATTTATACTTGATCTTTGGTTTTGCTTTTAATTTCTTGTAAATGGTAATCAAAGGGGATTTCCTGGGCATTTCCAGTTCATCTTTGTAGTGAAATAAGGTATCTAAAATGCCCATTTGATCTAATTACAGGCAAACTGTAAGCCCCTGTGTTGGCTTACAAGATGCAGAATGAATTATTATGCTCCTTTCCTCCCCTCCATCCCATATGTTCAATTGTACTTTGTTTAAAAGCACATCAACGTTTCCAGTGGTATTCACGAACTGGTAAATAAAACCATACTCAAATAATGGCCGTATATAAACTGTCAGTGGTTGAATCATTTTTCAAAGTGAGTTTTTGAAAGCAAGGGTACACATGATTAAAAAAACATGTTTATTGTCTAAGTCTAGTAGTAATTTGGCTTGCTTAAAAGAAAATGTTTTCTCCTCAGAAAATACATTACTTTTAAACAGAAGTTGCCATTTTAAGGAAGTAAATGCCTATTTAAAGTAGCTATGGATGGGGCCGCCCCAGCAGTCTGGAGGCAGTGTGTCAGAGCCTCATACTCAACGTCTGCCATCAGGGGATGGCTCATGCTGTCATCAGTATTTTGGCAGATGTTTTATCTTTGCCACTGAGTTGTTAATGGAGATTTCATAGGCCAGATTCTAAAGATGAGAATAGGTGTTTTTCCCAAAATTGATAAATATTCTAAATTCAAACTTATCACTTATATTATTAAAACTAAGTCAGTATTCTTTCATGTCAATCCAGCTATTGCTAGTATAGGCATTGCTTTTAATACATTAATGTTACTTTTGTGACACAGTTTTCATAAAGCCATTTCCCCATCTTTTAAGTTTTTACTATCATAGCTTTTTATGCAAAATAAAATACTCAACATTTTTATATCTTATGTCTGAGCCTAACATAATGCACTCTTAGGTTGTCATAAGGTACTTTGACTGGTACTAGCACAGATATTTTTTCTATGATAAAAGAATACGAATACTAGTGCAGGTCAATGTGGCTGAGCTCATTGTAATACTAAAGTAAAAGATACAGAGCACCAGGAAATTTGATTCGGACAGACCTAGACTTAAAACAATAGAACCTGGATTTTCTCTCTTTGTGGTTGTGTGGAGAGAAACAGGAATCAGAAGCTTCACCCTTCTCTGTTTCACCCCATATCCACAGAGCAGTTGTATACAACTCAGAATCTGGTCAGCCCCAGGGTTTGAGAATAGTTGTGCATATCTGAATACATGTCACACTCACGGGTTAAAAGACAAGGCAGGGAAATTGGCAAGTGCAGGGTCTGTCAGAATTGCTTTTTTGTTTTGTTTTGTTTCAAGCGAAGTTTGAGCCCTCGTTATGCTCCAAGCATTTTACAAGGCCCTCTTGGACACAGCGACAACTTTCAGACCCTGTACCCCTTAATAACATAAAATGTAGTTTATAGATGGTAGGGATTTTTTTGTTTTTATCCTTCAGTGGTACTTAATATGTTTTAAGTGCTTGATAAGGCCTTAACTCTGTATGACGCTGACTTTAAACTGCCCTTCTCCCTGTAATTCTAGGTCAACCACTTCAGTTCTTGTAAGGCCGCTTCAAAATCTAGTGAGGGCTTACTCTGAGCCAGAACTAAACACTTTGTGCACACCCCCACTTTATTCCAGACCTTATTTGATCTCTACTGAGCAGCAATCTGACTAAGTCCTCCTTTTTTTTACCATAATTCTAACCCAATTCCATTGGCGGCCCTCATTTTTATACCAGAGTCAAGGTCTGATGGCAAACAGAATTCACTTCTAGAAGGTATCTTTACTCACGAGCTTTGCTTCATTTAATGTAGTGACTGCTGGGCCTTCTTACCCCATTCCTAAACATCCATTCCAAGCAGATAATTAACTTCCTACTCTGCTACAAAAAGAAGTATGGTGTGTGGTGTAGGCTGTCTCGACTTCCCTCCCATCGTTTCTAAATTTATCTATAAAATCTTAGGTAGCCTTTGTCTCTTTATCCTTTCTCACCCAGTGTCAGAAGTATACCTATTCACCCTTTTAGGGAAAAGATCACTTGTCTACAGCTCTTGCACTTCCACCATCTTGGAGACCTAACCAGTTTAATTCATCAGTGTTCTATCTTAGATCCTTCCTTTTCTATTGTTTCTTTCACCTGAGCTTGCAGACGTGCTCAAATTTTATCCCATATTAAGAACCAAGCAAGAAGAACCAAAACAAATCTTGCCCTTGTCCCTGCCTCCAACTCCTACCATTATCGCCTTCTCTCTCTGCTCTGTTAGCCTCCGTGTTTATTGAGGGGATAATTGCCCCTTCTTTCTCCCCTCCCATTGACTTCCCAAATGCAGTCCGACTTCTGATCTCACTAGTCTATGGACATTGCTACAGATAAAGAAGCTAATGTGATTTTTAATCTAGAGGCTGTTTGTACTTATCCCATTTGACATCTGTTTTGTCCATATCAAGACCCTTCCTTGATGTCTGCGCTGGAGTTCTTTGCTGCCTCATCTGCTTCTCCCACTACTTCACGCTTCCTTAGTTTATTCCTTTTTAACTGTTTGCCCCATGAACATTGGTATTCCCCAACATTTAATTCTCTGGTACTTGCTCTATTGCTTTGCGAAGACTGTCTGGGCAATCTTGTTTATGCTCCTGATTTCAATTATCAGCTATATTCTTGGTGATTCCCAAGTCTTTAGAGCTCCAGCCTTTTTTCTTAATCCTAGATCCATATGTCCTGGGGTCTACTGGACATCTCCATTTCATTGTACCACCGGTACTGTAATACTTGGCCTATTAAATATTAAAAGAATATTTTCCCCTAAATATTCTAAATCTTTTCTCTCTGCAGTTAAGCCACAATCTAACTGGTTACACATCCTATTTTGATTAACAACCTTAACTCTTTTCTCTTCTTTCCTCTTACTTCTTACATTTGATTTACATTGATTTTATTTATTTATTTACTGTAATGTTTGGCCTTCTCTCCAGCTGTCATTTACCTGGACTACTGCAATGATCTCTTAGTGGGTTCCCCATTCTTGTCTCCCTTCCTGTCTTCAATTCACCCATCATATTGCTTTATTATTCATTTAAGTGTAAAT